TGATCTTTGCTTTATTTCCAGGTGAGCTTTGCATTGTCCATTGGTGAGCTTTGTAGTGTAATGTGGTGAGCTTTGCGTCATCTGACCGAAACATGTCATCTCACCATAAAGTGTCATCTCACTAGAGTCAATCCGTATATATATATATGTATATATATATATATATATTTATATATATTTACATACATACACACACACACACACACACACACACATATATATATATGGCGGTTCAGGTGAGAATGCACCTTAGTGAAAGAAATAAGAATAAAATCTAGCCTTTGGATTTGATGCATCGTGCGGCTTAGATTGCATCCTGCACTCAGATTTTGAGATAGTGCATTTTTAAAGGATTTTGGTACATTTCGACATGATGCATTTTCAAATCATTTTTGTGCACCTAATTTTGATGCAATCGTGACCCTTAGATCTCACAATCTAGAGCACCAGATTCATTATTATTTCTTTTATAAGATTTGCATTCTCACCTGATCCAATATATATATATATATATATATATATATATATATATATATATATATATATATATATATATATATATCTGTGTGTGTGTTTTGGTTCTGGTGAGAATGAGATCTTATGAAAGAAATAAGAATGATTATGGGGCATTGGATGAAGGCTTTACACCCTTTTATTATCCGCATAAAAAAGGGGCATGTATGTATTTTCTCAATCTTTTTCGTTTAAATCCAGACATTACTCTCCGCAAAATCAGCGATTGAAGATCTCTCCTTCTCCAATTTTGATTCTTCTCACACGATCCCCTAAATCAAATTTTATTTTTTCCTTGTTGATATGAGCTCTTAAATTTTACAATTTGTGCTGTATTCTCTCTTAGTAGGAGGCACCAAACTCTTTGCGTGAATTTCTTGTTGTTTTCTTCTTCATCCGGTAAGAATGACATATGGAATCAAGTTCATTTTTTATTATTTAATTGCCCACTTTTAAATAATAAACATATGCTTTGTGGTTGTAAATTGAATTATCACAATTTTAATTACAATCTTGATTCTTTATTGCCTTATCTTTTATAGGCAAGAATCACATATGCAAATAGATTTGCTTTTTCGCTGTTGATTAATCAACCAATGTCATGTGGATGTAATTTGAATTATCAGATGTTTAATTTTGATCCTACATCCATATTTTTATTAATTATACCTATGATGTGATTTTTACCCTTTCTTTATGTATGTGGTTTTATTTTTTTTGGGTGTGCTCTATTTTATTTATAAAATACCATTTTGATATTTAGATCTTAGTGTAGCAATATCATTAATTAAATGCTTTGTAATGCATTCTATGTTATTGTTACTGCACACTCACCAATTTTTTTAGTTCACTTTATGTCGTGATTAAGATTTGTTATTAGTGATCAAGATTCTATCTATATAATTATCATCATTAAGATTTTTTCTCAAAAAATTACCATCGATTGTTTTTCTAGATTTAAAAGTGTAGCTAAAGTTTTTTTGAAAAAATAACTAACATATTTTATTGTGTTCAATGGAACTTTTAGTGCACTTTTAGATTTATGTATAATTTATTTCCTTCTATTTAACTTAAATATGACAAAAATTGAACTGAAAACATATGTTGTTCGAAACGGAAATATTGTTAAAATGGAACTTTTGAAAATAATTGAAGTTTCATTTCTGTTTTGGAGTTATTAAGCATTATCAGAGTTAAAATAATACATTTTCATGAGAAGACAATGCATCTTTAGAATCAATGTAAGGCTAGTAATTTTTCTCAATATAATGCAACTGATAATGAATTTTTTTTAACATAAATATAATGCATATGTATATTCTAAATAGTAAATATTCTACAAACGATGATGCGTTTGAAATATTCTCTAGTGCATTTGAATATGAGTTAGATATACATTGAATGATACTAATTTTAAAAAAATCAAAATGTGTATTTAATGGGTTTAAGAGCAAGATGAGTCACTTTGAAAAAATCAATCATTGCCTATTAGCTCAAATGGTAGAGCGGTATGCATTACAGATGTGGGTTCGAATCCCGCATAGGCAAATTATTTCTCAAATCTATATTACAGTTGTTCGAAGTACAATGCATTCTTAACTTTTTCAATTCCTTACTTTGAGAACTCAGACATTATGCTTTTTTAATGCATTATATAAAACATTCAATGCATCTGAAAGTTTTTGTAGTGCATATTATGTAGAATCTAAATTAATTTTTAAAGACTAACTACTTGTGGAATGATGAAAAATTAAAAAAAAAGTAATATGCATTTCTGATAGGCCATAGTGCATATATTGACCATCATAGTGCAATTCCATTTGATCGAGATTTGCAGATAAATCCAAAAAGGTGACATTAAATATAATTTCCTGTATTATATTCATTTTTTATTTTCAGCCAATGGATTTGAAATGAAAAAGAATCTCTAAAGAGTTCTATTGCACTTGGTAATTGAGGTAATGTGGGGGTTTGATTGATGCGTCACTTCATTACCTTTTTTAGTGGATTAGGATTTTACATTAATGCCCTTTGAGTTTATTAGCCTTTGATATAAAATTAATTCAATAATTGCTTGCCTTATTAAACCTAGACACGTAGCACCATTTTAGAACAAATCTGGCTGTTAAATGTTTTAGATCAACATATATCATTCTTTCTTATTTGTTTCATGGAGCGTCATTCTCACAGGATATATATATATATATATATATATATATATATATATATATATATATATATATAGATAGATAGATAGACACACACACATTCATACATACATATACATACATATATATATATATATATATATATATACACACACACACACATATATATACATATACATACATATATATATATATATATATATATATATATATAGATACATACATACATACATACATACATACATACATACATACATACATACATACATACATACATACATATATATATATATATATATATATATATATATATATATATATAGACACACACACCCTAGGGTTTTGTACTCCGTAATTTAAAATAATGTGTCTGAATAAAAACACATTTTTCGGTCTAACTTGCTCTGAATTAAGATATGTTTGTGTCGTTGGGTTTGATTCCTCTTTCTCAATCCAACGATATAACTTTTATACTCAATCGAAAAATATTTATAAGTTCTACTTGGTCCCTCTTAATTCTTTCGATTAATTAATATCGACCAGTCTTTTAGTTTAAATCTCTACAAATACAATCATATTAGTCATGTTATAATGAGACGATTAGAGTCTCCAAAGTATCTTTTAATTCTTTACAAAATAAAATGTTGTAAATAAATAATCTTTACTTATTTAATTAACAATTACTTCTAGACCAGTTTCTAGGGTGTTACAATAATAATAACTATAATAATAGGAGTAAATTTCATAATTGGTTCTTTAGGGTTTCCATATTTAATATTAAATATTATATCCTCATAGTCCTTCTTTTGTGGGTGCCTTTCCACAAATGACCTTTTTTTGATTTTTTGACATGTTGGTGTTAATTTAAAGGCTAAAAGTATAATTTAACATCAACCTTATGTCTGGTGACGTATTCTGATATTGGTTAGATGGATAACACAAAAATGATGACTATGATTGTGGACTAGGATTCCGACGAAAGACCACATTTATAGACTATGGTTGAAGTAGAAACTGAATGTATTTCACAAACGATGCAAACGAACGCCTTTGGATTTTTGTATGACAAAAAAATATATTTTTATTATGAAATTAAAATTTTAGTCCTCAAATTAACACCAACTGATAGAAGATCAAAAATTACTATTTTTAGAAAGATACACATAAAAGAAAGACCACTGGGATAATATTTGATAATAGAGGACTAAAAAGGGAAACTCTCATGTTCTAAAAGACTAATTATGAAATTTACTCTAATACGGAGTAATAGTAATAGTAATAAAAAATAATCCAGAGTATCAATCAATAAAGAAATTACAATAAAAAAAATTGTAGTGAGTTATAAAATTTATTAGTTCCGTCTCTAAGAATTTTTTTTTACAATTTTCACCACTTTTGAATTACTATTTTGGGGAAAAATTTGTAGTGAATTATTTTAAAAAATCACAAATTAAGTAGTCCATTTTAGAAAAAATAGTATAGGCAATAGAAGATTATCAGTAAATACTTCGGAGTTTTGTTCATGAAAAATTTGCAGTAAAACAGAATATGTAGTGAGTTATACAAATAAAAGTTTTATTTTAGAGAAAAAAATAGTGTTATTTTAACAATTATTGTAATGTTATTTCGCAAAAAATATTTATATAGAACTATAAAAAAAGATTCACAATTTTCGTAGTGCCATTTTTTACTCGTAAGAAATAATAATATTATAGTATCAAAAAACAATTCGAAGTTCCGCTCAAAAAAAATAATTGCAACTTACAAAAAAATGTAGTGAGTTATGAAGTAAAATAAATTAGCTCTATTGTGAAGAATAATTTATTTTTTAATTATTATGAGATTATTGATTATAAAAAACAAGTAGTTTTACTCTAAAAAACAATTAAATTTGGTATTATTTTTCCAAAAAAATTTAAAATATATTTAAATTTAAAGTTAGAAATTTAAAAAACGAAAAAAAAGAGAATTTAGCAAAAATAATCTCACATTTCATTTATTTGCAAAAAACAGATATTTTACAAAAATTCTGTTAAATGACCGTTGGTTTTTTAACGACGACTCAAAAAGCGCACACATGTGGAAAGATGTGATTATTTCTGGTGACAATGAAAAATATGATTATTTTTAAAAGATTGTAAAAATATGTGATGATTTGTGATAATTTTTCTAAAAAATAATTTGAATAGAACCAGACCTAAAAATACCCTTTTGCCATCTCCCAATCTTTCTTCTCCGGCTCCTATCTCTCTCTCTCTCTCTCTCTCTCTCTCTCATACATTTCTTACTGGGAAGGGAGTTGAAACGCGGGGAACTGACTGACACCATAGACGACGCCAATCCCTGTACTGGCAAAGCACTAGGAAAGGACTCCGGCATTGACGAAACACATCAGTTGACCTTCCGCCGGCGTACAGAGTCCGACATCAATTCAACTCCAGCAATTGAACGCATGTGCGAACTCCACGAATCGAATCTGGATATGATGTGAATCTCCTTCCTCCGCTCTATAAATCTCAGCTATCTACCGCTCTGAGGTGAATTTCATGTTCTAGATCATTTGTTTTTTTTCTTTGCGCGCCTTCATTTCTGATCTACGAATTTTGTTCTTTTTTAATTGAGGAATAGAGTGACTGAGAACAATGAAGAAGATATCTTTGTTGTTTTCTCGAATGTACGCTTTCTCTTACACTGAGCATGCGTGGCACAAATGCAATATTATTAGGGCTTTTTTTTAATATATAAACTGGGAAATCTAATACATCGAAATGGAATCGAAATAGAAGGCAAACTGTCAACAAGCTGCGCCTCTAGCCCTTTTTGAATAGCAAAATCAAATCTTTTGAAACCTATATTCATAGATCTAGGAGGGGTCATAACATAACTATGCATGACCCGTTGGAGTGTTGGACTTGACACAGCAACTCCGCCCCCAAAGAAAACCAAGGGTATCGAGTATAAACATGCGTAGGTTGTCAAGACACGCTTTCTCGTGTTTAGCCATTTTGCATGATGTAGCTTTTAACGCAGCCTGACCAATGTGAAACCAACGGTCCCCAACCCTCCAAGAGGGGAACCCCCTGTTAAATTCACGGGGGGGGGGGGGATTTGATACTTGATCGTGTTTTGGCCGCTTATTAATAAGTTTATGTACATTCAGTTCTCGTTGATCAAAATATATTCTTTTTGCTAGGGGTGAACATGGATTTTGAATCTTTATTTGGCTATTTGGGCCATATCATCATTGATTAATTAGCTTAAAGCTTCTAGATTTGGAAGATTTTTGTAATGACTCTAATCTGATTTCTTGCTGCATCTTTTGATGAGTGGCATTTTTTGTTGCTTAAATGGCATTTCTCTTTGTGGGTGGTTCTTTTCTGCAGTGATATTTAAATGCACAAGTATAAAGCTGTTGAAATGATATTTTTCAGGGACTTGAGTGATTGAAATCTGTGATCGTGTGTGGTTTTCTGGAGAGTTTTGCTGTAATGGAGCAAGGTACAACATCAAACTCAGCCGGGTCCATTGATATGTCAAGGGTGTTGGATGTAAAGCCTTTAAAATGTTTAGCACCTGTATTTCCATCTGCTAATGGGATGTCACCTTTTGGATCTCCACAACCTTCGCCCTTTGTATGTGTTCCTCCAAGTGGCCCTTTTCCTCCCGGGGTGTCTCCCTTTTATCCATTTTTGGCACACATCCCCGGAGGAAGACCAGCCGAACAAGGGTCATTTGATAACCCCATGTTCCCTACTCCTATAAACTCTTTCAGAACTCCAACAGAAAATGGAAGTGCCGTGAGATCAAAGAGGACCACTAGAAGAGTGGTAAAAGAAGAAGATGATGCTTATAGTAATTCCCAGAACCAGAGTGACTTTGGCATACATGATGGTAATGATGATGAAGATACCAGCGCAGGAGGACAAAAGGGTAAATCTCAAAAAAGGGCAAGGAGAAGGCCTGAGATGGATGGCGCATCTGTAGAAGCATTTTATGAACCAATGTTGAATAATCTTCTTGAATCGTTTAAACTCGCTGGCTTGGATATGTATAAGAAAGCTGACGGTGACAAGGAAACTGTCAGTCGCTTATTGTTGACTTATAACTTGTTAAGACGAATGATGACCCAATTTGACGAGAAGAGGGAACAAAGTGAAGGAGCTTCCAGGCGCCCTGACTTGAAGTCTGCAAACATGATGATGTCAAAGGGGATCCGCACGAATACAACAAAGAGGATTGGGAACGTACCCGGGGTTGAAGTAGGAGACATTTTCTTTTTCAGAATGGAGCTGTGTTTGGTGGGGATGCATGCTCCAAGTATGGGGGGTATAGATTACATGGGTGTCAAATCATCTCTGTATGAGGAACCACTTGCTCTCTGCATTGTCTCTTCAGGAGGATATGATGATGAGGGTGAAGAGCCAGATGTTCTGATTTACACCGGCCAAGGTGGGGTCCAGAGACGTGACGGACAAATGATTGATCAAAAACTTGAAAAGGGGAATCTTGCTCTGGAAAAGAGCCTGCACCGTGCCAATGAAGTCAGAGTTATTCGGGGTTTAAAAGATTATATGACTATGGGTGGGAAGATTTATGTGTATGACGGTTTGTACACAATTCAGGAATCATGGGTAGAGACAAACAAGTCTGGATGCAATGTTTTCAAGTACAAATTGGTCAGAGTGCCCGGGCAGCCGGAGGCATATACCTTGTGGAAATCAATTCAGCAATGGAAGGATGGTGTTGCTGTACCGGATGGGATTATCATGCCAGACCTAACAGCTGGTGTGGAGAGTCAGCCCGTTTGTCTTGTCAACAATGTTGATGATGACAAGGGACCCCCTCATTTCACATATATCCAAACTCTCAAAGACCCAAAACCCTTTTTAATGCCAAACCATTCTTTGAGCTGCAGCTGCACGCGTGGATGTCAACCAGGTGACTCCAACTGCCCTTGTCTCCAGAGAAATGGAGGCTTTCTGCACTATAGTCCACTCGCGGTTCTCTTGACCTACAAAGCTCTTATACACGAGTGTGGTCCGTCCTGTTCATGCCCTCCCAATTGCCGAAACCGAATGTCCCAAGCAGGTCTTAAGTCCCGTTTGGAAGTTTTCAAAACCAAGAATCGAGGTTGGGGACTTCGGTCTTGGGATCCTATACGCTCGGGTGGTTTTATATGTGAGTATGCAGGAGAAGTCATGGATGCTTCTAGGGCAGGCGAGTATGCGAGCGAAAGCGGTGATAGCTATATGTTTGATGCCACTCGCAACTATCCGCCACTCGAAGCTGTGCAAGTTGGTGAGGATGAGTCTCCCAGAATCCCATTTGCTCTTGTTATAAGCTCAAGAAGTTACGGGAATGTGGCTCGTTTTATGAACCATAGTTGTTCACCAAATGTCATGTGGCAGCCCATTGTACGTGAGATTAACAACGAGGCGTATTACCATATTGCCTTCTTCGCCATTCACCACATTCCTCCAATGCAGGAGTTGACTTTTGATTATGGGTTGGTCCTGTCAGGTGGAGCAGATCACATGGGGAAGAAGTGTTTGTGCGGATCACCAAACTGCAGAGGAGTTTTTTACTAGGATTCTATGGGGGCTTCTAATGGTATCATTCTTGGCACAAGGGTTAGTTAGTATCATCTATCCCCCCCTCTAATTATTTTGCCTCTTAGCCGTCGTGCTTACTTAATCAACACTGCTCACCGTACTGACCCAAAAGCTGCCCGTGGTTGTAGCCAGCTTGTAGATTATATGGAACTCTACATTTTGGGGTCTTGCAAGTGAACTTGTGTGGTTGGTTTAAATTAATAATACTACGTAATTAGCATGAACTTGTTCGAGCTATTGGTCGTGCACTATTTTTGAAAACTGAACTAGTCTTTGTAAGACCATTGCATTTTCTCTTGTAATTCTAGTCTACTTCAGACCCAAACAAGTTTCTTTACAGTCTTCATGCATAAAACCTTTTGTGATCTCTGAACCTGTTTTGTTTGATCAAGCATGGTGATTGGATTAGCCAATGTAAAGCTTGTTGCATCTGTATTACTAGGCATGAATAATACTAAAATGAAACGAATTTTGCTTTATTGTCTTCTCCTACCTGCAAGTCTGCAACGTGTTGTATTGGCGTTAAGTGAGCAAAGGAGACTTGCGCACGGGAAGTCGGGAACATTGTTTTATCGCATCTATATCGGCTTGTGCAATTTGAGAAGTTGGTCCAATTTGCTGCTAAGGTTATCCACACCTTTCCATCTGTCTGCAATTTAAATCCTAGACAAGAATAAGTACTGAGGTATCGAGCCACCGGTTAGCGTAACGGGCAGTGTTCAAAATTTAAAAATAAAAAAGTAATTGACTCCGGTAGTGTGCTACCCGCATTGATACTTCTTGTGCCAGTCAATGGTACGTTGTTAGTTTCTACCGATTGGCACGCCTAAAACCCTTGATCTGATTGAGATACGTTCTGGTCTGGTTTGATCTGATTAGAATAGAGTTATATTTGAAGTTATTTTTTATCTGGTCTGATTTGAAGTGATTCCAATAAGAATAAATAATACTCAACCTTAAAATGAGTTTTAGTGCATTAAAAAAATATAAATAGAAATTTTGTGCATATGTAGAGTGAGGGCAATAACATAACCAACATAAGCTCATCATTTAGAAATCACCCTAAATAGGACTAATACATAGAGAAAAGTACCAAAATAGGACTTTCATGTTTTTTTCCCGAAATAAGACTTTGCACTGTGGTAATGTGACTTTGCATTGTGGTAATGTGACAGTGTACATGTGCACATTACCACACGTTTTTGGTAATGTATATGACTATGTTTGGTAATGTAAGTCCTATTTCGGGAATAAAAACATGGAAGTCCTATTTTTGTATATCTTCAATGTTTTAGTCCTACTTTGGTCATTTATAACCATTCTTCTAAAAATGGTAGTGAATTCCTTCCATGTTGTCAAATAAAGTTCATAAGTTATGAGGATATTATTGACCTCTAATGGTGAGTTTGACGCAATGAAAAGACTTATTTGACGTATTGAAACATCAAAATTTTTGCTTCAAGGCTAACATAGCTATTCTTGATAGGGCAAGGTTCCCATGACATTGGGATGACCCGGGGGTGCTCCGATGCTCCGTTTGTAAAATTGATGGTTTCTAACCCCCCCAGTAACCCCCCGCCCCGCCCCGACCCGAACACACCCCCTACCCCCTTCAATTGCACCCCACAATTGATTTTGACTTTGGAGTCAAAATTTAACTCCAAAGTCAAAATCAACTTGTGGGGTGCAATTGAAGGGGTAGGGGGTGTGTTCGGGTCGGGGCGGGGTTAGAGAGTATAGGAACCGTCAATTTTACAAACGAGACACTAGAGTGCCCACGGGTCATCCCATGACATTGCTCGACAATGTCATGGGAACCGTGGTGTTCATATTAATATTAAATCGAATACTGGTTGATATTAATATTAAAAATAATAATTAATTTGAGACATTCCCCCCAAACCTCTGAGAAAATATTGGTTGACATTAATAATAGACCCGAGTTCCCTCGTTATTTTTTGTTTCTTTTATTTTCACTTTTTTCTTCTCTTTGTTTTCTTTTTTCATAAACTTTTAAAATTTCTTTTGGAGAGTTGTTTCTATAACTTTTACAAAAATTCAAAATTGTTGAAGTTTGAAATAAAAAATAAAAGTAATTAAAAAAAGTTAGAGTAATATATACTTCATCCATCTCAAATTAAACATCTCTCATTGTTAAATGCTTCTGCGGCTTTTTAAAAACATGGGGACCTCATGAGTTATGGCCATAAAACTTGCCACATCCCACCGTACTTTTTTTTTGTTAAAAATCACTTTAAAACGCGAGGCTATTATGCACAACTTGACACAAAGTGTACCCCAAATGTACACCACCCTCCTACTAACCATTCATTTTATTTTGTTTTTATTTTTAAATTTTTTTGAAAATTTCTTGTCTTTTTGTGTGGTGATGGAGGGGGTGAGGGATGTTTGGGGTACACTTTTGGTGTACCCATAGCATTTTCCTTGATTGTTCTCTACAAAAAGTATGCATACAATGAAACTTTCAAATTCTCGCTTCGCCCCTCCCACGTCTTTGTTCAAACAAAAAACAAACCAAACTAATCCATTAAATGTTCTACGAAATAGTAGGTGACATGACCATATTATTTTATCAAATAAGTAAGAAAATAAATAAAAAAAAGTGAATGAAATTTGACCATGTAAATAATAAACATACAACTTAAATTGGGACGGAGATAATATGTTTCTTTGTCATCTTTTATTATTTTGCATGGAATTGTGTTGCAAGATGTGATGTTGACATGTTATCTTTGTTAAACCACAGATAGAATTCAAGATTCAATAAAAAAAATTGCAGTTACCTCACTTAAGCTGGTGCTAAGATAGAGTTTAGGATTTAATGTAGGTCACTCAACTTTTCAAAAAGTCATTTTTGTCACACCAACTAAAAGATTGAATTCAATGAATTATCCAATTCCATTAAAAACTTTATTTACTCATCATTATTTCTTAAAATTTCCAATATGAGATATTCTTACACCTTACCTAGTACAAGTTACAACTTGAGAATAGTTGATGTTAAAGCAATTTTAGTGAGAGTTGCTTATGAGTTATGAGTAGTTCTCAGCTAAGGAACAATTGCTTCCCTAAGCAATTCCTTTGATAAATTAACCAACTTATGCTCTACTTAGGTTCCACATAAGCTTCACTTAGATTTCACATTAACTTTATAATGTTAAGCAACTCCCCATGATCTTTCCATTAAAGATGCTTTTATATCTTCCATGAATATGATGGCTACGAGCTCAAGTTCTATGTTAAACATTGTTGATGATGTAACGTTGACTTTGAATTAATGAAAAACTCAAATGACAATTTTTTATTAAAAAAAGTATACATTAACAAATACTTCATCCCAATTTAAATCTTCTGTTGTTGTTTACAAGAGTTGGCTAAAATTATTTTGAATTTAGTATATAATTTAAAACTGATATGTAATTAAAAAATAATTTTTTTAAAAAAAAATTCTTAAAAGTTTTACAAAACCAGACAAAACTAGAGAGATATTTTTTCAAACAGAAATGGGAAAATGGGTAAAGATTAAAATTTGACTATGCAAATAGTAAATACTCCCTCTGTCCTAAAATGTTCTTTCCAATTACTTTTCACACGGTCAAAATTTAATCACTTTCTTTATCGATTTTCATTAGGTATATGATAAAATAATATAGTTTTGTCACCACTTGTTTTGTAGAACTTTTGATATAGTTTTTAAATATATAACTTTTATTTTTAATTTTACACCTACAATCAAATAAATTGAATTAAAAATAAAGTCGATCAAACCTAGTAAACAGAAACAGGAAGAACATTATAGGACGGAAGGAGTAACAACTTAAGCTAAGGAGGAAGTAAATTAAGTCTCATATGAGTTTGTACCCATATTCGAGACTAATTATGTGAGTAAATTAAGCTGTACACACATTGGTTCTTTTAAAATAGAGTTAACAAAAGTTGGTTTGTGAGTGTGACCAGTCTAACTTTGGAACCACTTGGTTCAATTCTGGGTAACCAATAACTTTACTCAATTCCAGTTTCAATTCCTAAAATCAATTACGTTACGGTCCGAATCTCATTTTACGCTATTGTATGTGGCTTGATTGTATAACTCTAAGGTCCTGTTTGGTACATGGAATTCAAATTATGGAATTGGAATTAGGGACTTCAATTCTAATTTTAGTGTTTGGTAGCACAAAAATTATATGGATTTGGAATTGATAGTCCAAAAAATGAATTGGAATTGGCAAAATTCAATTCTATGGAATTGAATCCCTTTCAATTTCAATTCCAATTTTACCAATTCCGTATACCAAACGGACCCTAATTAAATTCTAGCATCTAAAGAACGACTTAAGAATCAAAATCGGGTCCATCAAAGTCGAGTCCACCCCTAACGGGCAACATGTTCAATCCTACCTTGATCTAATGACGACTTTTGATGAGTATAAAGTAATCAAAAGTAGTCTTCCTCCATTGCTGACTTCATTTTAGTACTTTGCACAAAATATAAGAAAAATAAGGATAATAAATCTTGTCCTGTGAAAAACCAAAGTCTCTTATGACATTAGGCCAGTGCAATTGGTAGCATAGCACTGAAGAGTCGTCTCCTCTCACTATCGATTTCCAGTTGCATAAACACAAAACTGTGTAAGATATCTTCCGGGTGGCGAGTAGTTATCTGCTCGAGATGCCAAAATAGCAAAATGTCCATTTTGCTTCGACATCTCCATATGGGAAACTTCAAATGGCACATTCATATGATCCAGTTCAAGTAAAACTCCATTACCTGCAAAGAAAATTTAAGCAAGATGGTAATGAAATTATGGTAAAATGAACTCGCATACTAGTCAATTGCCATTTTATATAGGGGCTGTTTGTTTCAGCCTCTTAATGGTTCAGATGTTTGAATGGTTCAGCACTTAATGGTTCAGACTGTTTGTTTCAGCCTCTTAATGGTTCAGATGTCTGAATCGTTCAGACATTTGCCTATTAATGGGTAAGTATTATACAGAGTCTGAATGGTTAAGACCTCTTATCTGAATTGATCAGACATTTGCCTCTGAATAGTTAAGCAATATACTAGCTCTTAATGGTTCAGATTTCTTACTGGTTCAGCACTTAATGGTTCAGACCTCTTACTGGTTCAGCACTTACCGATTCAGAAGTTTCCAAACAGCCCCATAGTATGACAGGTAATTAGATGACTAATTAGTCTGTAAGTCACATCCTTTCTTGTGGGGCCCGAACCAAGACCCAAGCTAAATTTCATTTAATTTTAAAAAGAAAGTCCTACCATGTGTTCCATCTGTCCGACTATTCTTTCGGAATACTCCCTATTAATTAGGTTGTGCTCCTTTTTTTCCATCAGAGTGTGTTGTCGTGTTCTCCTTTCGCGGTAAGATCTAAATTCCTTCTTTATTTACAGGATAAAGCTACTTGAACCTCAAACTTTTGTACCCCATTTGTACACCGCAAGTTTTCACCGACATTTTGTGTTAGTGTAAAACTAATTTTTGTTAACGCACCAACACTTTGTGTCCGTGTAAATTTTTGTTGACACATCGACACTTGTGTCGGTGTAAACCATCAAAATGTTTGTGTATAACTACAGTGTACAAATGGGGTACAATTTTTGGTGTAAGTGTAGCATGGTCCTTATTTATACGGTTTTAAATTTTACTGCTTCAGATTTTTGTTAGGATTGAGAAGAAAAGTTTTTTTAAGGTGAGAATAAAAATTGATATAGTATGTTATAATTAAGTTAATGCAACACAAAGTTTTGTGTTTCGTTCCAGTTATATTTTTTGTCACTTTCATATTTTTTAATTAACATATAGTTTTGTTTTTAATTAAACTTAACATGTTTTGGGATCTTATAAATTAAAGGATATTAATTTCTTATACCCTGTACTATATACTTGTTTTTGTTTGTGTTGCCTTTAAACTTAATTTTGTTATGACACGTGTTGCCTTTAAACTTAATTTTGTTATGACAATGATATTTCATATTTTTAATTTATGGTTATAAAAAAAACAAAACTTGCATATTTTAAAAGCTACATCAAAAGTTCTACAAAACAAGAAGTGACAAGAATATTTTATTTTATCAAATAACCAAAGAAAACACACAAATAAATAAAAGTTGCCGTGATTTTGACTCTTCTAGACGGGAAGTGCAGAGTGCAATTCTTTTAGGGACGGAGGGAGTATCATGTTTAGCGGGATTTGATTTGCACATAAAAGTACGATAGTCAATAATCAGCTGAGTGATTTTAAGAAGTAAAGCGAATAAAAATTGACTAAGTGGAGTGTAGCGAGTAGGTGGGGCGTGTGGCGTTTATGATTTGCACCCTAAGGCGAGTGTGGTTTAGAAAATCTTGCCCATGGCGGTTTGATAATTTCTAAGTGAATATGGGGGTAGGGAACGTACAAACGACACCCGACACATCAATTGTCATCCCTATGCGCTACAATCAAACCAAATCTTATGTTAACTAAAATGATTTGTTAATATTTCCGTCTGGCTGGAGTTTTTTAGGCTTGACTTTTCTAATCAAACCTGTTAAATTGACTACTATTATATTTTAAGGAAAAATGATTCATAACATGGAGTATTAAAGCAATATAAAAATGTTTTTCGTTAAAACTCCTCTGTTGAATTTAAATACAAAAAAAAGGAAATACTCCGCAACTTTCAGCAAAGGGTGTCAACTAAAAACATCAGTAAGAAATTAACAGGTTTGACACATAAAGTTAAAACCCAGAATACTCCAACAAGATGAGAGTATTGAACATTTAATTGTCAATGGCAATACCTTCCTCACCGTACTCCCATAGTATCTTAAAATTTGTCAGGGTATATTTTATAATTTGCCAGAGACTACTTGATAATTTCCAAATCATGTTTAAGTAATTATGGTCATCTTAGCGAAGATGTCCCCACAAATAAGTGACTAATAATCTTCAGGACATATTTAGGGGTTAACCCGTTCCGCAATACAATGCACATGCATAAGAACCTGAAGTGGGGGGGAGGACTGAGTACCTTTTGATTATGGAAGAACATGTGAACGAAAAATGAGTGGATATGTGGCACAAATCCCGGTGCTCCAACACTGTTCAAATTAAAATCAAACGAACTAATGAACAATTTCAAATATTTGTTATAAGAGAACTCACTCAACAAGTACAAGGGTGTCTGCTGATACATTTCCATAAGGTAGTGTTTGGAAACTAGGAATTGGTTTGAATTCTTTGATTTCAATTCTAAAATTTGAATTCTTGGATTTCAAATTACAAGGGGGAGTGCATGGATTTGTAATTGAGCTTTGTTGGGAACTAAAAAATTTTGGCCCAAATCCCAATCCAATTTTTTTGGATTCCCAAACATTTAATTTGGGTCAAATCAGAACTTGAAATCCAGATTTAAGTTCCAAAACTGGCCATGATACACTTTGACTTGGAACTCGAAGGAAGCATTTCAAAAATATTGGAATTATATTCACAGCTGAAAGATCAATCACATTGGTAGATTACAGAGAACTTAAAAGAGATGGGTTAGCTTACCACTGAAAGCAGTGGCCCCTGCTTAAACTTGTTGTGAAATGAAAATGAGGATGGCTTGGGGTTTTCTCCAGGGCCTCTAATAAAACCTCTACAAGAATTGCCATTGTAGAATAAGTAGGAGATATAGATATACAGTAACTTCAACAAATACCGACCAAATTTGTAATATATACAGTAGGAAATAATCTTAGCCAATAATGAAATATATGTAAGTGATACAATCAGCCATTAGCAATGTAAGTATGTAAAAAAGCAGGTATGTGAAACCAGGAAAGTGTCAACCCACATCAATGAAGCTGATATCAGAGGAGTTCTCTTGACATCATAAATGGCTATAAGACCTTTCACTTGTTCTTCCCCGTCTTTGTATGATACAGCTAGACGCTCTCCTGAGGCATCCCATGCTATCCTCTCAACCCCTTGACTGTATAGAAAAAACGTATATGGTAAACCATCAGGTGGAGTTGTTTTCCCTTTTTGTGTGTGTCTGCGGAGAGGGAGGGGGCTCAATGCAAAAACGCAAGATAAAATGTCTATCCAATCCATTTTACTTTTCTTGAAACTGAAGAGTAAAATTTGTCAATCACATTCCAACATATACCTATTATAACAACACAATGCTCTTGATTTTTCTGTAAAATTTTTAAACTATTTTGAAATCCATAAAAGTATAATGCACCAATCAAGGAGAAAAGTAAACAGTAAAAACATAGTGACTATCCAGCTTGCTGAAATAGCATAGAGATAGGCATCTAAACCGATGCACCCACTGATAAATAAATGTACCTTTCAGTCAGAGATTGTATCTCTGGCAACTCAACAGGTATGAGATGTGCATCTGAAAAAGACAATTGCACCATTAGACAAGTGAGTGTCAGTTTTTTGTGCAACCATACTTTGGACAAGAAAGCCTAGAATGGCTAACTTCATTCTCAAAAGTGCGTACTTAGAAAAGAATCAATCCACTTGCACAAATCTATTCAGATGATATCCATTTTTTGATGTGTTCTGTGTACACACTCAACAGGTTTATTAGAGGTCCTGGGAAAAAGACAAGTGCAACAACACAGCAACAACCATAGGATAATCCCTACTTTGTTGGAGTCTGGGTGGTAAAAACAGAGAGGCTATTTCTATTGGATCCTTGAATTACCTTGATGCATTGTTGAATTTATTACCCAAACTTCATACATCATAGAAACTAAATAAGGAAGTCTAATGTGTCAATTTGATTAAGTTCATTATCTACCTGAAGCTAAAACAATGTATATTATGACTCTTTTAGCTCCATCAATGGAGCAAGAAAGGCAAATGCCCAAATAGTGCAAGAAAAAGCATGAGAGAAATTTGACACATAGTTTAAACACTAAATGCCCAAATAGTGCAAGAAAAAGCATGAGAGAAATTTATGGACTAATACACACACAGAGACGGAAAGAACTATATCAACTATCTCAATGATCATTTATTCATATTATTTTATATGCATGTTCCTTCTAAGAAGGCAAGGACATAAAGGGCCTCCCGATTGAAACTTCACCATTGCTTTGTGCATGAACTAGTATCATCAATGAATTTCCAAAATTTAACTGGCACTTAAGGTTAGGCTACAAAGCCCAGCACTCCATGCGTGTGTGTGTGTGTGAGAGAGAGAGAGAGAAGGATCTCTTCTGTATAAATAATTTAACACAGTAAATACTTCTTTGACCACTCATAGAATTATATACTTATATTTCGTCACACACACAACAAACTGTCACGTTTTCAACTTCACATGCATGGAAGCTGCATATACTAGATGCCTGAGATACACAAGTGGAAGCTATCCAACTTCTTTCCATTATTGCTCATTTTTGGGAAGTTGCAATTGACTGATAAAGGAAACAGAAGATGCCTAATATACCCAGTGATGGAGGTTTAGTGGCAAAGTGAATGGAACCTAATGTTGAGGAACCCGAAAATGCTATAAGTATCTTACTACCATCAGGATCCCATGCTGCTCCCTGCAAATAAATCACAAAAGTTATAACTTGGTATACCAACCTATCTGTCAACACAACTTTTGAATGGTTTGAGACTTCTGTATAACTTGCAATATCTTTTCCATGTATACCGGGCATACCTGCCCTGAATTTTATTATCAATTATCTAGGAAAAACATAGCACGGGTAATATCTACATAGGTTCAAATTTCAACTGCCATATTTATTGGACATGTATTACTTAAGAACAAACAAAAAAATAACTCATATTAGCTGATTCATAGAAGCATAATTGCCCACCTTGACTCATACGGTAACAGTTCCCCGATGATGGTGTACAATTTGGAGAGAAATTAACAGATGGTTTACCGAGGGAGAAATGATTCTAGAACATAAAGTTTGCATAAACAGATGGTTTACTGAGGGAGAAATGATTCTAGAACATAAAGTTTGCATTCATTGCACAGTGCACATATCCTTAATTAAACTCCAAAGATGCTAAAAGCTAAAATAATGCAAACAATGCTTACAGATTTCATAAGTTCGCTTTCAAGATCTTCAAAAATAGTAAAAGTCAAAGAACCATCTCGTGCATTCAAAATTATTTTTTTAGTACAATGCATTCACAATTAATATATGATGAAGAGTAGAAAATAGCAGCGTGGGGGTCTAGACACTTATTAATGTGATGCACTTATTAATAAACTGAAAACCAGAATATCAGCGTGGGGGTCTAGAAACTTTTCTTACATTGCCAGAATAAGACTCATTAACTCTGTGCTAATGGGAGTTATCACCTTCTGGACAAGAATTTTTATACTTCCTAAAGGTATAATCAAGAAGATTATAACTATTTGTAGGAATTTTTTGTGAGGAGGGACTGCTGTATACCATAAGGTACCTCTAGTACAGTGGGATGAGGTAATGCCAGTTGAAAAAATAAGGAGGTCTGGGGAAACTGCACAGAATTCTTGAGAGAGGGAAAATGCAAACTAAAGAGAGAATTGCCAAATTCTTGAGTATAAACACTAATTGTGAGTTATGTAGGAAGAGTAGCTGAGACACAGGATCATCTATTTTGGGGGTGTGAGGGTGCGAAATCATTGGGCCAGGCCATAATGAAGGAATTCAGCTGCACTTTGGATTGCAAATCTGAAGTTGAGTTTGGTGTAGAAATACAGAATGTAAAAGGAGGGAAGCAGAGGAAAAAGGTTATAGCTATGTGGGCTACCTCTATTTATTTCATTTGGAAATGGAGGAATGAGTTGTGGCATCAGAAGAGCAGAAGATTAGAAGATATCCAAGACCAAGCTGTTCATTACATTAGGAATTACTTTAATTATATGAAAGTAATGTAAGTAATATATGTAGCTTAGGCGGATGTCTGTTTGAATGATGTACTTGAAAGTTTGGGTTGGTAATGAAAGCTTGTGATTTATGTGCAAAAAAAGAGTAGAAAATAGCAGCATGTGGAAGCAAACATATATTCCTATTCATCACGAAGGAAGAGTATTCCTGTGACTAACCGTGACAAAACCATTTGTTGAGGACCATGGTTCTGAAGTCCATGTGTTTGTCTCCCAGAGATAAAATGTCCCATCACTGAGAAATTAAATTTGTACAGTGGGAGAGGGGGGTTAGCACCTTCTTTTGAAATTTAAAATCTTTCATATTCTTATTTAATCATAAAGAGGTTGGACAAGATAAGGAGAACTTTTGAAACATTACAATTTTGCAGCAAAAAAATAATCTCCAGATGGGGACCATTTGAGCAATGATATTCCCCCTAAGCCACGCCGTATGGGTGTGCCAACTCCTGTAAAACACAACATGATTTTTAATACCAAAGAAACTGAAAAGAAGTCTAAAAATGTAACTTGAAAAGACGGTCAAGTAAAATTTAGAATAAATTGAAAAGGGGGCAGTGGAGCACATCCACTTTGCACAAAAATATGTGAAGCCTTCACAATCAAACCAAACCATGATTATTCGCCAGTCAGTGACAAAGCAAGTACTTTCAGTCAGAATCAACTTGAACCGCGCTACAAAAATAATTGGAATGAACCATCTGTCTAGATTGGTTATTAGCAAATAGCTGAAGATGCATCTCGGCCACAAAAATAAGATTTTATCTAGTCTTGGGCACATATAATAAAATTGTTCCGTTCATGTTATTTGTTCTTATAGTCAAAGACACCAAAGAAATGATCGGTGCCCTAAAACAAAATACGACCTGTTCAATTCAAGGTCGCTATAAATTATAGTACATTTAATGCTTCAATAAACAGCTATTTTCGGTTTACCACAGACTGTTACTATGGGGGGAAAACATACCCCTCTAAAGAAAACAAATACATAAATACCTTGAGCAACATCCCATATGGTGAACGAAGGACTCTCAAAGGAAGCTGATGCCAAATATGTTATGTTTAGTTAAGGAAGGCAAGACATGTGATTTTATCATTCCACACAAAGCAAATTGAAATGCACCGATATATGATGTTGCAGGATATACACTAGGGTATTTTGTACTAGTACATGCACCTTACCTCTCCCTGTGAAGGGTGGAGAGGTTGTTTCCTATAGGCCCCTGCCTCAAAAAAAAGGGTAAACTCCTAATTATTCTTTACAAAAACAAACAGGATTTTTGGAAGAGAGGAAAAGGATATACACTAGGGTGGTTTTAACACTCAGGGCAATTTTGATTTTTTTCCATTATTTACCTAAAACTATGACATATACTGGGATGGTTTTTTTATTTACCTGAAGCTAAGACATTGTCAAAAAGTAATCTAAAAGCAACCAGGAATATAAAAAGAAAAGGAGCACTTTATGTCATCAAAAGGAACATCTAATACATGACAATGATTAAAATGATATGGCTTGGATATCTTCCAGTTGGGCTCCATGACAGTGCACTAACTTGTTCATCTTCGTAACTCCGTAGGAAATCCACAAGAGTCCATCTAGTACCAGAACCTCTAGAAAGAGTGCCCAAGGTAACTCCAGATCTCACCGAAGCTGCATTGCCAGGATATGAAGATGCCCAGATGCATATTCCGCCTCTATTAAGTTCAAGATGTTAAAAACCTCACGAAAAGAGTTAAAGTGAAAAACATAAAGTCAAACAAAAAATGGATTTAATAGTAAATCAAGATGTAGCAAAACCCTGAGAGTCGGAGACTGACTTGCAAGCAACAGAAAGTGTCCTCCCACCATTTGGTCTCCACTCAAGACATTTAACATCCTTTTGAGATTCATTGATCAAAATACAAGGATTTTTTCCATCTGTCAAATAGTAGGGGAGGGAGAAAGCACGGGATCTCATATGAAATTGAAATACTTGAACGAAGCATTTCTAAATGGAAGGCACAACCTAAAATAACACGGGATATATTGTAGAAGATAAAAACCACTAACCTGAATCCTCATAATTACAAACAGTCACTTGGTGAGTTCCAGAAATAAATGCTAAAATATGTTTATGTTGGTGCCAATTTACTCCACAAAAATCAATGTCTGGTAACAATTTTACCTGAAACAATATACCGAAAAATGACAAAATGAAAAAAATTTCCTATCAGAAAAGGTCACAATTATAAACAGTTAAACACACTACACAAACAACAACCAATCCAATGAAATGTCACAATTCTAAAAACACCACAGCACAACAACAGCACAAACAACAAACCCAGCAAAATCCTATAGTGCGGATCTGGAGAGTAGGGAAGGTTGTTTTCATGAGAATTTTCTAAACACTACTATTACTCAAAACCGGTATTTCTATTTTCATTTTTATTATCTTCAAACATGTTAGTTAAACCACAACAATAAACCGCAATACCATTCAAATTGCATTTGGGTATGGGAGCTCAAGACGCATGCAACCTTACCCTTGTAGAAATGAGTAAAATAAATACTGTTTCTACCCCATTACTATCTTCTTGTATGAGATTGACACGATTTTTAATAAAATAGAACTTGTAGTTGTGGTTTGTGTAGAGGAAAGAGAAATAATATGGATCACACAATATTTTCCTTAAAAATAAAATGTGGAAAATTTTTTTGGGACAAAGGGAGTAGCAGACTTCCCTAAAAGCAGATGTCATAATTTTAAACACAGCATTTTTGTTCAAAATCAGAATTTTCCTTTTCCATATTACTATCTTCAGGTATATGAGTAAGACACAACAACAACAACAACAACAAACCCAATAAAATCCCACAAAAAGTGGGGTCTTGGGAGGGCTTGTGTACGCAAACCTTACCCCTACTCAAAAGTAGAGAGAGACCCCAACAAAAATCAACAATAAGAACAGAATCCAGTATGATCTATATTGTTTTGGGTGTAGGAGGCTGTTTCCGTTAGCCCTTATGCATTGTTACAGTTACTGTCTATACCTCATAGGAATTTAAGAAGGAAATGAAGTTCAATGTGTGATTCGTATGTAGTCCATTATTTACCCGAAGCTAAAAAATTGTAAATAGTGACACTTTTAGCTCCACTGACAACGGAAGCAGTATGAATGTTAACTACGAATAAATAAAAACCAAATATTTACATCAACTGCATGAAAAATCTGCTTAAGCACACCAGTGGACACAGCTTTCAGTGCTGCCCAAAGCAAACCACTTCTCTGCTCTTCCGAGCATGGATCATTGCTCAGCTCACCAACACAGAGATTCTCAAATTGAAAAGGAATCGGTTTGAATACTACTCCCTGCAGTATGAAATCAAAAACCGATTAATCAGAACCTCGCTCCTCTAGGAAACCACAACTAATTTAATCCAAGGCCCAATACATAGAGAACTCACAAGAAGTTTTCCATATGTTTCCTTGGCACGATCGTCGGAAATTTCATCGGCGGTAACTGTAGCATTTAGGAAAATGGAAATGTCAGATCGTGTCAATGGCTTTTTTATGCAGAGAGTGAGCGAAAGAGCACATATATAAACATATAAAAAGAATTGGATGAGTTTGCAGAAACATACTGAGGTCCCGATTGATTTCGCAAATGCTGACTGAGCCTACCGGAGGAAACGACGGCATTTTTGTGACTTTCAGTCTGTCCGCAGGGTTTTGTTCCAGCCACCGTTTTTGTGGCTTTCAGTCTGTGCACAGGGTTTTGTTCACGGCACCAGTCCACATTATCTCCCAAATTAGTACCTTGGCCTCGTTTGATTTTTTAGGTATACAATTTATTTAGAATAAATTTCATAATTATTCTTTCATAATGTGATGTTTTTCTATTTAATTCTCTGTTATCAAATATTATTCTAATGATTCTTCTTGTATAGGTATCTTTCCACAAATAGTTATTTTTTAATCTTCTGTCATGCTGATGTAAATTTGATGGCTAAAAGTACTAGTATCACACCCGTGCATTGCACCGGTCATTTTTACGTCATTAAATTAAGATATTTTTCAATGCTAAAAAATGAGATGTAATAAAATATAGAGATTATATTATTTTAAGGTACAAAATATAGCTGCTTTACAAATTTCGAAAGACTTCTTTATATACTACATTAGTTGTACAATTTGTGGGAAAACATTGTCTTCGTTGCATATAAGAATCTTCAATTCACTACGATTAGTTACTCTTGAAACTGCAATATACAGTTGTCTATGACTAAACATCGGTTTCCATAATAATAATCCACCATGTTTCAGAGATTTTTCATGGCTCTTGTTAATCATCATTGCATACGAAGTAACCACATGGGATTGTATTCTTTGAAACTCGAATGGAATTATTGTATCAGATGATGTTAATGATAGTCTTGGAATAACGACTTCTTCACCCATGTGGCTTCTTGATAATATCTTTCCTTGTATTGAGGGATTAGCCAACCGGGTTATTATCAACCGTGTACCATTGCATAAACTCATTAAAAGATCAATATTTCGCAACAACATAATAGGCGTGCCTACCTTCAAAATTAACTCATGATTCGGTACACCAAAAGCATGAATCTTATTTAAGAATTTGGGAGAGAGTAAGTCACCGAAAAAAAACTTGAACTCCAGTCCGAGTTCTCAACTTTGTGAGAACTAAGGTATGTTTGAGATTCGCTGCTTGGATTCATCGTTGTCATATATTTATTTTTGGAATCGACGACATCTAATGTTGGAGCCAAAATTGCGTGCTCCTGCAAGTAGCTTAGTTCGTTAGCTATTTTTTGAAAGTTTGGACCAGTCGAATTCACTATAGTAGCTATTGGATCTTTAGAAGATGAAAGTATGGAAAGTACATTACTATAAAGGATATAGTAAATATGGAAAGTACAATACTATAAAGGATCAATTATTGGAAAGTACAATACGATGGGGCAAGGAATAGGGTAGAGACTGTCAGGGGTGATTTGAGCCTTTCCCCGTATATTATGGGGTTAGACCAGGGGTCTGCCTTTAGCCCCCTTTTGTTCACTCTCGTGATGGACGTCTTGACGTAGGGAGTTCAAGAAGAAGTCCAGTGGTGCATGATTTCCGCGGAAGATATTGTGCTTATCAATGACACATGCGAGGGACTAAACAACATGATGGAACTTTGGCGTCTTTCCTTAGTTACCAAAGGATTCACACTGAGCAGGACCAAGACTGAATACATGAAATATTGTTTTAGTGGTTAGGAGACGGAAGAAAGGGTGGAAGTAAGGATTGATTCTCACCCAGCGCCAAAGGTAGATAAGTTTTGGTATCTTGGTTAAGTCATTCAGGCATATGTGGAGTTAGATGGGAATGTTGCTCATCGTGTTGGTTCAACCTGGGCTAAGTGGAGGCTCGATTCATGCGATAAGAAGATTTCGGCTAGGATGAAAGCTAAGTTGTATCCATTTGTAGTCAGACCAACTATGTTGTATGATGTAGAATGTTGGGCAGTTAAAAAAACCTATGTTCATCGACTTTGCGTTGCGGAGATGAGGATGTTATGGTGGATGTGTGAACACACGAGGTTGGATAGGATCACGAACGAGGTTACGTAAGGTATGCACGGCACCTGTGGAAGACCAGCTACAAGAAACTAGGTTGAGATGGTTTGGGTATGTGTGGCGACAAAATGTTAATGCTTTTATGTAGAGATGCGAGAGGCTTATGTTAGTCGGTTACACGAGGCTTAGGAAACCAAGGCTAACAGCTTATGCTAGTAGGTGGGAGTAGGGGAAGGGGTAGACTTAAGAAGATCTGGAAGGAAGTGATTATAAAGGACTAAAGTCTTCTTTTGCTCACTTAGGATATGACATTAGATATGAGTGTTTGGAGAGCTAGGACTAGAGTAGTTGGGTAGGCATTTTGAGCTAAGAGGAGTTATAATCTACTATCCTATCATTCTCACCCCTTTAGAAAACAACATTATTCTCAAGGTGGAGGTTCCCTCTCGTGCTTCTAGACCGGTGATAAAACATTGAACCAAAAAAGAAGTCCACCTGGTGATTCATTTTTCAAGAACCATGTTGATTAGAGTGTAGCAGATGAAATATGAAAGAATAAAAACTTGTGTCAAACCATCTCATCTGGAACCTGGTACTCACACTTGACGAAATCAACAATGTCAAACAATAGATACGTAATGGTGTCCAACAAAATGGAGTTGTTGCTTGATTACAATATTCATCTGTTATTTGTTTTGCACTTTCAAAAACTTCATACGCTACCTCATCCTCACAAATCGAGACATTTATTGTTGCATAGGATTCTTGGTATGTAAGACCTAGCGTGTAGTAGTAACATCTTCATCATTAGCACCTTTATCTTTTTCAAAATTTTGGACTCACCATCATCTTCATTTAAAGCTTCAGGTCATGGTCCTCGACATTCCCAACATGTGACTTGACACTAAATTTCCTTGAAACATTTGTATCCTCCACTCTTGAAGTGGGTAGAGTGGTGGCGGCTTCCACCATGTCGGCAATTGTGTCTTTAGCCATCTTTGATGGCTTCCCAAAAAAAATATATTCCAAATCATGTAATGGGGTAAATTGAAGCTTGAACTTTTAAACAAAATCACCACACCCATCAATTAAGCCACCATGCATACGCCAATTAAATCAATCTGCGGCGGAACTCTCTAACATTGCTACCATATGGGGCAAAAGATCAGCCAAAGGGATCTCATAATACTAGAAATACTCACATACTTTTAACCACTTTAAGAGGGCAATCTTTGGAGAGAAAATGGAGCACCAATGAGAATCCTTGTAGCGTTCATGTAACACTCTAATTTGTTCAGTCTGCAGCCCCTTTCAGACTAAAATATAAACTTGGCAATTGTAAAATTTAAAACATTTCAAATACTTTTATTCACCACAAAATAATATTCATAACAAAAACAATATGGAGTTTTCAATGTAGCAGAAGTTTTACAAAATATAATCACAAAATATAATTAATTCATGTCTTTTAAAATAATAGTTCAAAACCATTACATCCATCTCGACAATCATGCCCCCGTCTGCTACCAGGATCACACCACATCATTCTTTCTGTTTACCTGCGTGTAGAAAATAAAACATACTACATGCTCACCGGTAAAGCTGAGTAAGGATGTCTATTGCACTGAACATCCACATAAATTGAATCTCAATTCATAATCAAATCATTTGATATCATGCACATAATATTAAATTCAATATTCTTAATGTCAAGAGTGCTCTTAAAATATTTTTAGTCTAAGGCCAACTTCATAGCAATGATCTTAAACTATTCTTAGTCTAAGACCAAATTTATATTGAACACAGCTTTTAAACTATTCTTAGTCTAAATCAAATATAAATAACTGGGAGTAAAAGTAAAAAAAGAGTTTGAATTACAAAAAAAATTAGAAATCAAAATACGATTTAAGATTGAATCTTATGGCATAAAAGAAAATAAAAAAAACGTTAACACTTTTTAAAGTAGAGGATAAATTTTTTAAATAAAGTATGAAATCTATAATGTAAAATAATTCTTTTTACATTTTTTATTTTTTAAAAACTCTTTCAAAATTTCTAATTTATTTTTTTTCAAACTTCTTCTAGTTTTTCCAACTCTTTCTAATTATTCCAACTTCTAATTTGTCCAATTCCTTCCTATTTCTTCACTTTCAAATTTCTTTGGACATTGATCTTGTTTTCCCAACCAAAAAGAACAGAACTGTATTTAAAACTACATTTAATTTGTAGTTACACATAAGTCAAATTAAGACAACAATCTTGAAACAGAGGGGGGAAGACTAACAAGGACACAAGCATTTGTTCATAGATGGACTAGTATTTCGTTCATAGATGGACTAGTATTTAATCCGTGCAACGCACGGGGTTTAGCAATTTTTTTGTCAATTCTAAATTTTTTAAGGTTTTGTTCTTTTGGATTATAGTTCTTAGGATATGTTTGGTTGAGAGGAAAATATTTTTGCAAAAAATTCCAATAATTTGTTATGTTACGTTGCATAAGTGGTAGGAAATAATTTTTTAAGAAAAATATTTTCTCTTAGAGGAGAAAATGACTATTAGTTGTTTTAGATTAAAGTTCATTTTCTTACTTAATCTTCGAGTACTCTAATTCCTCGAGTTCATTTCCCCTACCCACCCTCATTCTCTCCCCTACCCCCACCCCCGGCCACGCCTCCCCAATGAAGCCCTTTGAATGGGTAATTTAAACTTTCAAATCCTAATGGAATTCCGGCCCTCAAAGATTTTTCATGATAACTTTGTATCCAAAACTTTTTAAATAAGAACCTTTGAATAGTATTCTTTAATATTTCTTTGATGTCATTATATTTTCTTGTATATGCTAAATTTAACATTAAAAATGAAACTAATTTTACAAAATGTTTTGAGGTAAAAATGAAACATGGATATTTGTTTTGAAGACCTAAATATAGTATTTTAGGTAAGATTTAAGTGTTAGTCACCAAAGAATACTATTACTAAGGCTCGAGGTTAAAAATGATTCTATATTCGATGATGATAGCACAATAAGGTCATAGTTACAACCAGTGGCGGATCCAGAAAATGAAATGACAGGGGGCAAGAATAAGGCGGGGTTTGGGAGCAACACTCTTTTTTTTGTGTGAAAGTTAATGCAAAATGCCATAAATACAGTTTGATGGTGTAAATTATCAACCGATATATTATTTTTAGCCAGACAAAAACAATAAACTAGTCTAAAAAATACACCAAAATATAAAAACAAGAATTTTGACGTGGAAACCCAAATCGGAAGAAAATCACGGGTCTTTTTTGGCAGTACATTGCCAACGGGGAATTTTTATTAATATCAGGGGTGTGTACACGGTACATAAAATGGGCTCGAAAGCCATAAATGGAAGCTTGAAAGCTTATTGAAGAACAAAAATTATGAATATCTAGAGAGAGAGAGAGAGAGAGAGAGAGTGGTCGAGATGTGCATGAGGAAGTGAGTAAATTGGCCTCCCATTTAATGAAGGAGAGCCCTCCTTTTATAGGAGTAGCAGAAGCATCTACGGGAGAATATTCTCTTATTTTTCTATTTTATTAAATATGTCCGATTTGGTTGTTCTTCGTAAATAATTGGAAAATGTGGGTCGAACCACGTGCTATTTCCCATCACAGTTAAATTGCATTGCAATGCATTGGAATGTATTATTTTCATAATTTGGGATGAATTTAGTAAATTTAAATTACTGAATTTTAAATTTTGAAAATGAATAATGTCTAAAACTATTCATTTAGTTATGATAATATGTAGCTTGAAAGAGAAATATATATAACTCATTGAATGCATATAGGTAGCTGAAAGAGAAATATACATAACTATTCATTTTGTTTCTCCCACTTCTTATTTCTGCACCAGCTGTGTGTACATTCCATACTCCCATCTTATTTAGTTATGATAATAGGTAGCTTGAAAGAGAAATATATATAACTCATTGAATGCATATATTTTTCACATTGATATGTTGTGTTAGGAAAAGCTAAGATATTAAAAGAGCATTGGCAAAACATTTCAAGTACTCTCCCCGTCCTAAAACTTTCTTCCCAGAACATTATTCTAACTTTACGGGAATTTATATTTATTTGTGTTTTTTCATGGCCTATATGATAAAATAAAATATTCTTGTCACCACTTGTTTTGTTGAACTTTTGATGTAGTTTTTAAATATGTATGTTTTATTTTTTACTACCACCGTCCCATTTTATAACGCCTGTTTTGGTTTACGATGTTTGACTGGATTTATTTTCAAACCATTTTATATGACAAATGGTATAGAATTAAAAAATAAAGATTACATATTTAAAAACTACATCAAAAGATCTACAAAACTAGTAGTGACAATAATATTTTATTTTATCAAATTGCTAACGAAAATAAAGAAAGAAAGTGAATGAAGTTTGACCTTGTAAATAGTAAACATGCATTATAATTTGGGACGGAGGGAGTATTTCTATACCAATATTTAAATAAAATAGATTGAAAAAATTTGGGATTTTCTTCATTTTGCGCAACGGGAAGAAAGATATAGGACGAAGGGAGTACAACATATCACATGTTCCCAAAATTCAAACTGAGAAGATATATTGACACTATCCCATAGGCACCAGGGATGGTGAGAGAAACATAAAACTTCCTTTTAAGAACAGTTCAACATCGAAAAATAATTGGACAAATTATGGTTGGGTATTTGAAAAACTAAATAAGAACAAAAATCTCACTTAAAGCAGATATGACATACTTTTTGTGTAACAGTTGACAACATTTTTTCTAAACCTGTTTTTTGCAAAAATCCTACTTACAAAGGATAATAATATTCATTGTAAACTTGAGTAAGTAGTTAGCTCCCCTATGTAAGCGGCTAATGTTTGGACAATATGTAAACCTCTAAACTTGTGGAGGTGGAAACATTGCAACAATATTTGGTCAATATGTAAGCATGTTTTTTTGCAAAACGTTAACAAAGTTCTTACCTTGTAAACCCTTAACTCCTACCAAGCCCTAGTCAATTGTCACACAAAAAATCCAAAGACAATTTTAAAATAAAACAATGCAAATGCTTTAGATTTCAAATGGAACCTACCTTGGTACAAAAACATCTATTATCTTTTTGTTCGGGTCAACGACTCGGTCAATTGTAATTAAAATAAAAATATTTTTAATATATTAATATTTTTAATAAATTAATATACATATTTTTACACAATAAAAGTATTTAGGTTTCTTTTTTCTTCTCCACCTAGTTTTTAATACGTAGTATCATTTTTCATATAGCACTTTTTCACACTTTCAAATTTTAATTGTTATAACCTTTCTAAATGTTTTAGAATTTTAAGTTTATTGAAATAAAAAAATACAAAAAAATAATGTTCATTTCTTTATTATAAAAAATTATTTTGAAAATTCTTAAACTAAAAACCCTACACAAACATATCTCTATTTTTTAAGGTAAACTATCTTGTTAAAATTTTGAAAGTTTTATACAAATATACATTAGTTAAGTGTCATCCTAAAATGAAGGTTGTGCAATGAATATATAAACATAGCTATACACACAAAAAATAACCAACTCTAGTAGGTGGGACGAAAATGCTAGAGCTTAGACCTAAAATCTAGGATTCTATTTCTGATGGTGTATATTTTTTTCAAAGAAAACAAAGTCACCTTAGACCCGTAAACCGTCCGAGTGGAACCGGATCACCCGGTTCGACAGTTTTTACGTGAGTTTCCTTTAAAAAAGAAGGCTAGTGGTCTTGATTGCCAAATGGCAGGTTCTGAGAGTACAACTCTCAAATTTTATATTAAAAGATATGAAACCGCAATTACTGCATGTCTACATTCCATTGAACATACCCCATATTTGTGATCAGTCTTATATTTGTGTCTACAACTCTACAAGATCTCCCGTTGCAAAATTCCATCACATATCATTTTTATAAGATTACAAGGTTTCAAATTTAGTTAACTCAAGTACCCCTTATATACTTTCCCGTTACATACGTGTAATCACATCGAGTCTACTCACGACTGTCTTGAGACCCAGCAGAAAGCAACCAAGCTATGTACTCGGGTCCGTTTTCGATGATGGAATCCGTATCTCTTGGTGGGACGATTCTTTTAGTCATCAAAGACTCCATAACAGGTAGCTTCCTTTTCCTGCCTCCTCTCTCCCTCGACCTGAATTGCTCATCAGTCTCTTCAAAGTCTCCCTATGAATGTGAAAGAAGAAAGAAAACAGTTAATATCGAGTATTCATCTTACCACACAGGGCTGAATCAGAAAAAAGAAATCAACAATTGAATTTAATTGAGAATGAGCAAAACAAAGCTTACTTGGGTGTAAACATGACATCCAGACTTTTCATGCTTATCTCTCACATGCTTGAAGGAAAATCTCATTCCACAACCAGAAAAACTGCAGACAAATGGCTTAATTGACTGGTGAGAGGCTTTGATGTGTTGCTTAAGATTTGATCTCTGCACGGAATAACAGCATTGTACATTATAACACATGGATCGAAATAACTAAAAGCTGTCTCTCATTTGCAAGACATTGAAATGAAAAATCTTGCAACTAAAACTACTCACTGTTGCAAAGGTATGGTCACAATCCTCAAAGTCACACGGGATTCTCTTTGATGATGGCTGAGCTTCATGCATGCGAAGATGACGCTTCATATTCTTCTTCAGATGCTTTGTCCCACAGATCTCACAGACAACATGTTGGTGGGAAGACAAAGTATGTTCTTTAAGGCATTGCTCATTCGTGAAATATTTAAAGCACCCTGGCTCTGAACAAAATGCCTCAACAGTATCCAGCTTTACTGCAATTCGAAAAACAATTGTATTAGTCACATCTGGGGATATACTAAAATATCTTCAAAAACTATAAATAATCGCACTGCAATGATCATTCCGCATTGAAAAACTTCTTGACTTAAAGAAAAGTGAGGAAAAGCAAATAAATTGTTGTCAGAATTTTTTAGACGGACAAGAAGGATGGATTCCTTTCTCTAAAGATAAGTAAATAAGGAGATATTTTTTGGGACATACAAAAACAGAAAGAGTGGAGCTTTAAAAAGTCAGTATAGATTCAAATAAAACAAAGAAAATACGGGGTCATAATTAAGTCAAATTAACAAATCCTCCACAACATCTTTGATTATACTGCATAAACCGTATCAGCAAAAAACTGGTTCTTCAAAGCTTACACAAGTTAATTGTGCTCTCTAGCAACGGACTTACCGTGAGAACCTTCATGTTTCTTCAATTGGGATGCATACTTGAAAGCCTTTTTACAACCAGCTTCAGTGCAAACATGCTGCTTTGGAGTGTCTACAACAATTGGTACACCCTGCTCATGCATCTCTATGACATGACGCTTCATATTACTGCAATAACTGAATTTCCGGTCACAACCCTCCACGGTGCACTCAAACAGCTTTCCCTGGTGCTGAAGAAGATGTCTATTCAAGTGATCCTTTCGTCTATAGCTACACTTGCAATCATCTACCGGGCATGCATATGGCCTCTTTTGGAACAAAAATCACAAAAACCAAACATAAGTACTGAAAACTCAATCTACAATGGCTTTTTGCTTAAGGAAGAGGAAAGAGATGGAGTGGGGGATCTCTAAGCACACAAGAATATAGCGTGATTGAGGCCCACTTGATGGAGCTTCACAGGAGGTCCCCCTACCTGGTACTATTCCATTCAAGATGAAACAACGGCCTCTTGCATTTCGGAGTTCATTCTCTGGGATCCAATGCTTCACACTAGTCACATTTGATATTCCATGAAACCGTTTAAATCTCAAACTGCAAGACCAATAATTCTGAGACACATGTAATAGGAAGTCAGTGAAATTGAACCATTGTTTACTGTATCTCTTCAAGAACATAAATTTATGTCTAAATCCAGATATCCATAGTTTAGAGAACCTATGATCAAGAGACGAACAGCTTCAAAAGGTCCGATTCAAAAGTATTCATATGAAAACTACTTCTCAAACCCTAATCTCTAATCACAAAATTGGAAAATAAGACTCCAATAGACTCTGAATCAGATACCTCGAGTGAATGACTTTGCATATGCTGCTTCAAATAAGCATATTTCTGGAAGCTTACTCCACACTCTGCACATGTGTGAACTTTAGGCACTTTTTCGTCCGACTCTTTTGATTCTCCTCGGACCTTGAGCTCATCCTAAATCAATTTTTTTCTCAGAACACTTAAATTTTCGAAATCCATGGCAATTCTTTAAAACGAGTGATTCACACTGCTTAACTTACCTGATGACAAGATAAGATGTGAGCCGAAATGAGCGCTTTCTTCGAACGGAAAATGCCGCAGAACTCGCAGGAATATCTTCTTATATCTTTGAAAATTACCGGTCTGTTCTGCTCGGTCTCTTCCATTGCTCGATCGGAGTATCGGAGTATGTAGGGTTCCGATAGTTGGTCGGGTTCCGATCAGAAGGCGCTCACAGTGCCGAGAATTTCATGATGAATGAGTGAATAAATAGGGTGGAGTATGTAGGTTTGTAGGGTTACTGCGGAAGCCCAATGGGCCGAGTCCGTAATACTTCTCTTCTTGTTCTTTTTTTGACACTTATCCGGTTATCCCAAAAAGACATCATTCTATCTCCACCCCACAATCCCGGGTGTTCAATAGGATCGATTCGATCCGAAAATTCGGATATCCAAAAATTTCGGATCATGTAAAACTCATTCCATATTCGATCTGAAAATATTTGGATATCCAAAATTTGGATATCCAATTTTTTGGATCGGATCAATGGATTATCCGAAAAGTTGAGTTTTTAGCCAAAATTTACAAAAAAAAGGTAAACTAGCAAAATCAACCCAAAATATCAAATTCAATATAGATTTACTAAAAGAAAAATTCCACCACTTGGTAATGGCCTAATAAAAATGACATCAAATTTAATTTGGGAGTAACTTTGGTAATTTACCTAAACAAACTAAAAAACACTATTAAAACAAAAAATTCTAAAATGCTAATGCAAAAAGTCCAAAATGGTTGAGTTCCAAAATCAACATAAAATTACATTTAAATATATAGTCATAATATATATCCATAAAATTCCAAAAACATATAGCAAAAAAAAAATCGGATATCCGATTATCCGAAAAATTCCAGAAATTGAATCCATATCCGATCCGATTTTTCTCGGGTATCCGATCCGAAATATCTGAAAGCTAAAATATCGGATCGGATATTCATTTTTCGGATCGGATCGGCCCGGATCGTGAACGGATATTTCGGATCGGATATTTTTGAACACCCCTAATCCCAAGTATGGAAAAAAAATTAAAAAACAAATAAAAATTAATGGTTATGATTATTAGAGTACATAATTTGTTGTACCCCTAGCATAACTCTTTTTTACTCCATATCATTCAAAGACTACTTTCTTTTTACATCATATTATTCATTTTTTATTTACATTTTTCTTCAATGCAGTACACTATCAAAGTGGTCAACATAGAAAGTCAAACATCTTTTCATTTTACATTAAAAAGCATATCTAGTCAAAACAAGAAGAAAAAATATAAAAAAGTTCTAGGAAAAAGTAAAGAAAGAAAGCTCAATATAATAGTAATGCATGCATTACTTAGAATATGATCCCCTCCATAAAGATGAAGGGCCCATTTATATCTTTTTCATATTAGACTAATGGCAGTACTCCGTGTTTCTAAAAAGTTGATTCTTTAAGGCGGAGACCTCTCTCCCTAGGCGAAGCTCATATGTCTACACAATGTTTGAGATGGTGTGTTAGAGTTTGAGCTTGCTACGCTGAGCTCGAACTCTCCCCCACGATTCCTTGATCTGAGGTAGTGTGTTGATGGTCGAGCTCAACCATGCCAAGCTCGAACCTTTCTTAAGGCTTCTCGATTTGAGCCTATTCGAGCTTAATGTTCATGGGCTCAGGGTACCTGCCTCATATCTCCATCATGTAAGAAAATGAAGGTCATATGTTTATGAGCCTAGCTCTAGACGAGGATGAGTATGTGAGTGATGAGGTCGAGCTCGGGTAAACGGGGCCAAGCTTGGATTATTCACATAATATTTTCTTTTTCCCAAATCAATTATGAAATATTTGAAAATTTTCATTCACATCAATTGCATTTGCTCCTCTCTTGCTTATGGACCTCACAGGATTTTTCCAAACCCATAAAACATAGGATTTACGATGAAGGAGACCACTGAGTGAGAAGAGTAATATTTAAGAAAGCTTCACAAGAACTAAATAAAACGAGAAGAATAACATTCAAGAGAGCTTGAGAATTATAAGAAAGGAATCTAAGAATAAATAACATTCACGTCAACTCGTACCCCGCTCATACGAAGGAATCTTGTCAACAACATGCAATCTTACCCACCCACAAATGAATGTAACTTCTTTAACTCTTGTGAAAAGCCCCCCACCCCTAAATGGTGTATCTAAGAATATCTCAATCGATAAATGTAAAATATATATACAAAGAAGGAATATAAAAAAGAAATATTTACACTAAATAGCACTAAAATATAAGTCATTTTCCAATATAGCACTAAAATTTTTTTATTCCCTATAGTAATTTTAAATATAATATTTTAAATACAGTAATAGTAATATATTTTACTATATTTTAATTATAGTAATTTTAATCAAAAAAGGTAATAGTTAACCAAGTTATTAATTATATAACCGTGTGACTACATAATTGTATACTCTGTATTAATTACTGTGTCATTTTAATTATAGTAATTTTAATTATAGTAGTTTTAATAATAATAATCTAAATAATTTAAATATAGTAATGATAATTGTTAAGTATTTACAAATGGTAAGAAATTAAAGTGTCCAAAATTATAGTAATATAAAATGGACTATAAATTTTGTAAGAATTAAATATCCTTTAAATATACTCCCTCCGTCCACAAATAAATTTTACATTACGCGTTACGATGTTTGGCTGAAGTTATTTTCAAATCATTTAATATGAAAAATGGTGTAGAATTGAAAAATAAAAATTACATATTAAAAAACTATATCAAAAGATCTACAAAACTAGAGGTGACATGACTATATTATTTTATCAAATGGGTGACGAAAATAGGCCAACAAAGTGAATAAACTTTGACCCTGTGAATAGAGAACGTAAAGTTTATTTGTGGACGAAGGGAGTATATATTTACATTTAATAGCAAGATGGTAATAACCAAGAAAGTTAATAATTACCTGTCATTTTTAAAGTGTACGAAATTATACTAGCAAGAAAGGTAATAATAAAAAAAGGTAATAATTGACCACGGTATTAATTATATAACCATGTGACTACATAATTGTATATTAATTACCGTATCAAATTAATTATAGTAATTTTAATTATAGTAATTTTATAAGAGCATGAACAATGACAAGGTATACATTGGAATGCCACATGCTAACATGGCACGGTTCAACCAATCAAAACCAATCTAGTCACACAGTGGCATGACATTATCCTACAGTGGCAAGTCACTTTTTTTTGTCTTACTTTACATTTTTGACATATTTTTGACATTCTTTTATAAACTAAAAATGAAAGAATGATGAAACATATTGTGTGGAGTAAATTACGAGGCATTCAAGAGCTCTTATTCTAGATCATCTTTTATCATTTTGTCAAACAACTTGTGTGCACACTAGGACAAAATTTATTTTCATTGAATTAGGGCAAAGAGATTGAATTAGGGTAAAGAGAATGGGCGAATTTCAGAGCAATAAACAAGAGATGAGTAGGAGAGGGGGTACCTGAGAGTTAGGAGGTGGCCGAGGATGGTGACCTGACTTCCAAAGAAGAGTGCCGCTGGTGATTTCCGCAGAGGACAAAGACGAGAAACGACCGGATTATTTCCCAGATGCTTTGGTCGATGCTCCTATTTGCCTCGCACTCGCCTCGCAGATCGGAGTGGCTCGCGGGATGCCATGCAAGCCAATTTTTGCCACTCCCGTTGTGTCTCTTGGATCTCCACGGATGGCAGGGCGTGGCAAGGAAAATCCTTACCGCTGCCAATGCTCTAATAGTAATTGTATAATGGCTATATTTTAATTATAGTTGCTATATTTTATAATGGCTATATTTTACTATATTTTAATTATAGTAATTTTAATAAAAACGGTACTCCCTCCGTCCCAAATTATAGTGTCTGTTTCGGTTTACGATGTTTGACTGAAATTATTTTCAAATCATTTTATATGAAAAATGGTATAGAGTTAAAAAATAAAATTACATATTAAAAAAACTACACCAAAAGATCTACAAAACTGGTAGTAACAATAGTACTTTATTTTATCAAATTGTTAACAAAAATAGAGAAATAGAGTGAATAAGGTTGACCTTGTGAATTGTGAGCATCCACTATAAATTGGGACGGAGGAAGTAATAATTAACCAAGGTATTAATTATATAACTGTGTGACTAGATAATTGTATACTCTGTATTAATTACCATGTCATTTTAAATATAGTAATTTTAATTATAATAATTTTAAATATAATAAATTAAACAATTTAAATATAGTAATAGTAATTTAAACTCCTTATAGCACTTTGAAAAAAGAATAATTTTTTAACCTCTTATGCAAAAATCATATTATAAATACAACCATTTACAAAGCTTTCATAGCCATTACATTCATCGTGAATTTTTTTCTCCTACGTTTCAAAACTGTCATTCCTACAAAAAATAAGGATCTTAATTGCTTTGAAAAATATTGATGAGAGGTCATCAATGTTAACAATCAAGATGTGGTTTGGAAGATCTTCCATTTGAAGGACCCAAATTTACATGGAATAACAATCAAGGGGCAGGAAAAAGAATATATTCAAAACTTGATAGAGTTATGGGTAATCTAGATTGGATAAATAAGTTTGATCTAAAAGCTCATTGGTACGAATCTTGTACAATTTGTATCGGGATAGGGAAGAACTTCGAGCGTCTTCGGGCTCCAAGAAAGGGGAGGCAAAGAGAGAATGAAAACTTCGAGCGTTTCCAGGCTCCAAGAAAGAGAGACGAGAGATTAAGAGAGTTCTTGATTATTGATTGATTGAATAATAATAATGAAGGGTTACAATATATAAAGAATGACGATAACCCTAATTGACCTAACAGGCTCGGGTCCATCCTAAAACCCTAAACCATCAATAAATAATAATAAGTAACTACTAAATAATAATATAACTAATTAAAATATTCTAATTAACTATCTGTATCATTCCCACCTCCTTAAAATCCACCTTGTCCTCAAGGTGGAGGCTCCCACTTGTGCTTTAAGATCGGAGACAAGATGTTGAACCAAAGGAGCAGTCCACTCTTTGAATCTTCAACCAGATTGGCTCTTGTAGCAAAGTGGTGGAAAAAAGAGACGGGGCACATAACATATGTAGTTGCTCTTGGGGAAACCAGGTGCTCCGTCTTGACCACATTGACAAGGTCAAGCAATTTAATGGTGTCATCAAAAGAAATGAGGTTGTCCACTTGCTTCTTATCTGCATCTGCCACCTTCTCGAGATTTGCTAGAAATTCATACCCTGCAATCGCCATCCCAACTGAGGCATTTAGTGGTAAAAATAATTCACGAGGTGTAGAATATGAGTTGTTTAATGGCTCGTCACTCAAAATATTGGCATCATAATCTTCATCAAGAGCACCACCATCATCACCAATGATGTTAGACCCGTTATAATCGCCCTCTTTGATATGAGACCTGACACTTGATTCTTTTGACTCGTCTATGTCCTCCATAGTCGGGTCGGGGAGGATGGTGTCATCTTCCATCATGTGGACAAATGTGTCTCTAGCCTTTTCTGATGTCTTCTCAAAAGAAATAGAATCCAAAGCATGTAACGGAGCAAATCGAATCTTGAACTTTTCAACAAAATCCTCCCAACCATCAATTAAGCCACCACGCATACGCCAATTAAACCAAGCCAAGGCAGAGCCCTCTAACATTAATGTCACACATTTCAAACAATCAGATAAAGAGACTTTATACAACGGGAAATACTCACATACCGTAGCTAACCACTGCACAGGTTTGGTGGAGAAAGTGGAGCGCTGTCACTTTCCGTATAATACTCATAATGTGTGCTCTGAAACTTTGTAACTCAAAGAGAATTTGACTTGGCACAATTGGAGGTCCATGAACCAAATCTTGTACCAAGCAAAAAATTTCTATGTCGAACTCATCATGATCAATTTGACCTTCAAAATTATGGATCGGCCTGGGGATCTGAATTTGTTTTTTTGTCGTTCAAAATCAATGAGAGCACCAGTAATACGAATCTTGTACAATTCGTATCGGGATAGGGAAGAACTTCGAGCGTCTTCGGGCTCCAAGAAAGGGGAGGCAAAGAGAGAAGGAAAATTTCGAGCGTTTCCGGGCTCCAAGAAAGAGAGACGAGAGATTAAGAGAGTTCTTGATTATTGATTGATTGAATAATAATAACGAAGGGTTACAATATATAAAGAACGACGATAACCCTAATTGACCTAACGGGCTCGGGTCCATCCTAAAACCCTAAACCATCAATAAATAATAATAAGTAACTACTAAATAATAATATAACTAATTAAAATATTCTAATTAACTATCTGTATCACTCATTTCAAAGAAAGTGGTGTGTCTCACCACTCCCCATGTACCTCTATCAAATAGGTCAAATTAAACATGCTCATAACTTCAAGTACTGTCACATGTGGACACTAGACCCCCAATTTTCTGACATAGTAGTTGATGTTTGGGATCAAGAGCATACAGGATACCCAATGTATCAAGTTTTCCAGAAACTTAAACTGCTCAAACAACCTTTAAAAATCCTTAACAAGAGAAAATTTCAACATGTGGAAACACAAATTGATGTACTTAGGGCTAGATTACACAGCACTCAAGAGGCAATAAGGAGTTAGATTCCTAACGAACCTCTACTGGAAACAGAAAGAGATCTAAAACAGGAATTACACCAAAAGATTAAGGCTAATTTCTTGTTAAAAAACCAGCAATCAAAGGTAGATTGGATCACCTATGGAGACCAGAATACTAAACTTTTCCATGCCTGGATCAAGAAGAGAAGATTGCAAAATCATATTTTCTCCCTAACCAATTCTTCCGGACATAAGATGAAAGGAAAAGATGAAGTGGTCAAAATTCTTATGGAGCATTTCCAAAAACAGCTGGGGACTAGTGAGGAGACAGAGGATCTTAATACTGAAATTGGAAATATGGGTAAGGGACTCCCTACAGAACAACAGTTACAATTAATTTCTCAGGTTACTACAGATGAGATTAAGAAAAGCTTATTTGAGATACCCAATCATAAAAGTCATGGTCCATATGGGTATAGCAGTGGATTCTTCAAGAATCAGTGGACAAAAGTGGGACCACTGATAACTAAGGCCATTCTGCATTTCTTTCATATGGATGATACAGTAAAACAAATTAATGCCACCAATATCACTGTTGTCCCCTATCAGCCCTAATGATCTCAAACCTATAGCTTGTTGTACAGTCTTGTACAAAATCATAGCCAAGATCATTTGTGGAAGGCTAAAGAAGGTTCTGCCAACAATCATAAACCTGAACCAGGGAGCCTTCATAGAAGGCACAGAGTTGGTCCACAATGTGTTACTATGCCAAAAATTGGAAAGGGGGTATAATAGGAAAAATATTTCTCCCCGCTGTCTTATGAAGTTGGATCTACAAAAAGCATATGATAATATCAGCTGGAAGGCTGATATTGAAATGAAAACCATGGATTCTTCAAAGGAAGAAAGGGTATTAGACAAGGTGATTCAATCTCTCCCCTATTATTTGTATTAGTCATGGAATACCTTACCAGAGCATTCATGTACTATGCAAAAAAAGAAAACTTCTCTTACCATCCAATTGCAAAGCTGTGAATATCATTAATATTGTGTTTGCTGATGACTTGATAGTGGTCTGCAAAGCTGATGAGAAATCTGTCTCATGTATTATGAAGGCTCTAGACCACTTCAAGTGTACTACAGAGTTGTTTGTGAACAAATCAAGATCAGAGATCATATTTGGGGGGACTCCTGAGGCTCTAGAAGAAAAGATTCTGCATATTACCAACAAGAAGAGAGGAAGTTTCCCCTTCAGATATCTAGGGGGGCCCATCACCCCTTCTAGAATTAGTACCAAGGAATGTGATAAATTAGTGGAGAACATGACCACAAAAATCTCTGCCTGATCTGCCAAACACCTCTCTTGTGCTGAGAAAATCAATCTAATTAACTCAATTCTGTATGGAATCATAACTTTTTGGAGTAGGATGTTTCTAATCCCCACAAAAGTGATGAAGAAGATTCAGGGCTTGTGCAGAAATTTCTTACGGAGTTCTTCCCCTGAATATAGGAAAATCCCACTAGTAGCCTGGGATGACATTTGCACACCCAAGAAGAATGGAGAATTGGGGTTAAAAAAACCTAGTCTGGTGGAATAAAGCTTGCATCATGAAGCTAATCTGGGACATAGCTCTAAAGAAAGATATCCTATGGATAAAGTGGGTGCATACTAGATATCTTAAAGACCAATCCATCTGGACCTGCC